GAAAACAATACCCTGTTTACTTTAAAGTGTAATTCAAGAGTTGCATGAAATTTAACACTCAATTCAAAATTCATATCGCATTAAGTGTTTAGTTTTGCAAACTTTTTGCAAATAGGGTTTCGCAGTGCACTCGTGTTTACACAATTCAATTGCAGGCAAACTCCTCGCTATAAATAGGAGTTTCTCACTACTGGTGGTTTGCCTACCAAACACACCACACATATCGATGGTTACTAATTGACAGAGCGTGAGAGGACTGGTAGGTTTTGGTAGGCATTGCACAGTCAGCTCGATATTTATTTGGTTGTAAAGGGAGTGAAGGGACAGGCATTTCGTACATCGCTAGCTGTATATCGCTGTAAACATTAGCTATCATTGAAAAAGTGAATGCAATTTAGAGTGACATCTAAATGGGTGTGAATTTGTGCCACAATTGACAGGTTTTCACTCAATTTGCGTACACTTTAGTAGCGGTGGTGTTGTGTCCACACAATTGTCGCCCGTTTTGTGGACATATCCGTAAAGACTTGGATGTGAACCATGGAGTCGACGGCCAATAAGGATGAGGTGATCCCCATGTATGACAGGCACCCAAACGACAGTAAGTTTTGGTCGCAATTATCTCTAATTATTAATTTTGTTTTGTTTTTTTAATCATTAAATATAGCGTAACATTGGATAGACTTATAGTTGCATTCATTAGTACTCGTCTAATCAGTTATACTTATCTAGCTATTTATTTCTTATTATGTAATTGATATGATTTACGGTTATCAGGGTCAATACCTTTTTATTTATTTCCAAATTATATAGATTATTTTAAGATTTTATTATTTAATATAACGTAAATAGCTATCTATTTATTTAATATGCATACTAAATATGCTAACAATTCACATTTTGGCAGTATATTTATTATACCGGTAATTTTCAATTGATTTGCATAATACTTAATCCAATATTGTCTACACTTCGCACATGCAGGTGGTGATGATAACAGTGTCTGTGCGGTGCTGTTGACCATAGTATCGATATTCGTGATCGCGATAACTATGCCGTTATCACTGTTTTTCTGCATCAAAGTAGGCATACATTTCATACCCATTTCACTCCGTATAGCAATACAACACCTGATTATTCAACACTTGAACCCAATTTTCACTCATTATTCATAAACGGATTAAACAAATGCTTTTTCCCATTAAAAGGTGGTCCAGGAGTACGAAAGGGCTGTTATATTCCGATTGGGACGGCTATGTATGTCATAATCACATCTAGAACTTTATCAATTAAATAATCAAGCTA